ATGAAGTAAAATAAAAGTATCTGCCTAAAGGGAGGAATGCGGAAACAAATTTAAAATGAAAAGATAAGTTTACATGAAGAAGCTGTTTGTTTAGTGAGGGCTGCTCCCACTGCAATATGCAAGGCTTCTTTATTAGCTACATCCAATTTTTATTAATTGCTGTGTTTTGTGGGCCAAATGGAGATGTCCACGTTCAGTGATTGGCTCAGTTTCAATATCATCTGAGTATTCCTTTGGCTACTTTCTTGATTGTAGTAATATTAATATCTATTAAATAATCAAAAAATTATTTGAAAAAAAATTTCATCAATTTTTTGTTGGAAAATGTGATAAAATTAATACTGAAATTATGTTGATAAACTATATATTTTATAAGAATTATAATTCATTTAATCAATATCATCAATTCATATTCTGACTTTTAAATTGTTGAATTTTTTAATATAGTAGGTCTTATTATTTTAATGAAATGATAAGTTTAATAAAACAGACAAAAGTTTATGGAAATTGTGGTAGTTGCATGGCTAGCCAGCAGGTTAATGAACTCATGATGATGATGATGATAAAAGTGTTAAGTTATATAAATTCAAATGTAGAAAAAATTATGTAAGGCCAGTAAAAATAACAATCAGTAACAATTTCACACATAAAGGGAAATTTATAAAATATATAGTGTAAGTTATTTAAATTTCATTTTAGATATTTCTTTTTTTTTGTTGAAAAAAATAAAATTATGTAAGGCTAGAAAAAAAAACATATATAATTGTAATTATGTAAGGCCAGTAAAAATAACGTATCAATAACAATGTGAAACTAGCCAGATTTTAAAATCTGTCTGTTTGCATATTTCTTGTTGCTTAATTGCATTTGATGTGTCATGATTTGATAGGGGTGCATTGTGTATTTCATACATAAAGGAAAAGCCAAAAATAAATTGATGTTTTGTTTCCGCTGTCTCCTATTTTTTTGAAATTTATTGATTTTTCATTTTTTTTTCACTCAAACTTTTCAACACCTGCTCGCAATGCAAATTAAAGATAGCCTAGCTTAGGTCTTATGTAAACGGAATCGAGGTCAATTTTGTGTGGTGCGTACATGGATACATATGTCACAAATGCAAGACTAACGTAATGTTTAATACTGTACAGCCCTCCCTGTGGCTTTTATATAGGTTCAGGCGACAGCCATTTTATATTTTTAGAGTGAACATGACGCACAATGTTCGGACATGAGCAGGTAAATTAATATGACGTCATACGTTCTACGTTTCTACATCATCACAAATCACAATTGTTGCACTCACAAGCTGTGGCTTTTCCTATATATTGCAAACTATTTAATTATTTATTTAATTCGTTATTGTTGATATAAGCTGTGCACAATTTAACCCTGTTTGTTTTATCCCACGAGGGGAGTTGGACAGTATGCGTGAACATATCTTGTACAGGAAATGGGGTGAGGACGTCGCAAGTGTCCCTTAAAAAAATTCCATCTTTTCCCAGGGCATTTCCTTTGGAAATTTGCATAGATTACCATTCAATATTGTATAGATAACTGATTTATGGAATTATAAAAATTGTATTCTCAATATACAACAATCATCATATTATTATATCTTTCAGGGCAAAGAGGAAAGTTGTATAAAAAGTTTATTTTACACTCTTGAAAATAATCCTGATTTGTTCCATGTGCTATTTATACAACCATGCAAAAGCTATAGAGACTGTGTATTGTATCTAGGCAAAGATATTTAGAATCCTACATGATACAACCGAAACCATAAATGCAAGTTAGATTAGATAGAAAAACAATTACATAAGCCAGCATTAATACAAGTTAAGTTTAAATGAAACTACTGTAGGTATCTCATAAACTCCAGTATGAACACTGCATTCACATGGGATCTGAACCGAAATTCAGACAGCGTATCTGATGGGCTGGATGCCAGCGTCCCTATTCTTACACAATGATACGATTTACGGGTCGGTTCGGTAGTCCTTTGGATTTGGTGTGAATGCAACTTTACACTTTACAGTTACACAAGCAAAGTTTGTTTTTTTGCTATAAATTCATAACTTTTAAAGCTGTCCAGTTACAGACTTGAAATCAGTCTAACATTTGGGCGCTGTTGGAAATGTATCGTGTTAGTCGAGTCGAGTGGCGAGCTGTATGGCAGGGGCGCCGCTATCTACAGCCTTAACATCGGCGCTGGTTCCAGCCGTTCCTCGCCCATGGTTTGGTTGGTAGAACCAAGTCTTCTCAGATAAGGACTTAAAATGGAGGTCCAGTGTGTACATCTGGCTCGTGTGCACTTTAAAGAACCCATTGAATCTTTCGGAAGAGTAGGGGGGGCTACCCCAATGTTATGGTTCATTTCAGCCCCTGTCGTTGTGGAATGATGTGAACATGTATCTACCAAGAAGCGTCTCTTTACGGCTGCTAGGTAGTCACGGACCACGCCCATACGCAATTCAGCATAATGACGCTGCAAATTATTATTCTCCTACCTCTATTCTCCTCATAGTCATACTGGTTTTCAGGGTAATCATTATATCGTATTCTACTAACAAATGCAAACAACCTTCAAAATTGCGTGGTTTCTCACCAAGTGTGGCCATTTTTAGTTGTTTATATCACTGAATATAAACCTGGGGTCACAAGTTCAGGTTTAAAAAATGCTGCCCTCCAAGTGTCAGCACGCTTCCTGCGTCTAGCTTCTTTCGAAGTACAATAACAATTACTGAAAAAAGAAGGGATTTTGGAGAGTTTTCCTTCCATAGTTGGCCTACATTCTGGCATTACAACAAGTTAATGTCAGAATGTGACAATTAAGGAGTGATCCCCTTGCGAAATAAGTTTGCGAGTTTTTGAACCTATCATTTACTTGAACATGTTTCAATGTAAAAATTCTTTAATTATTTAAAAAATGAATTTGAATATTTAATAAATATTAATTCCCATTTTTTATGGACACCATGAAAACTATTTTAATCATTACAAAAGTGGTAAAAGTGGTGCACTATGCACACCACAGCAACAGTATTCAAAAATGTATTTTTACTGTAACCCATATTTATTCAAGGATTCTATAATAAAGACAGCATTCTTAGAAAATTATCTTGGCAACAGAAATTTACAATTCGTTGAACAAAATATATGTGGGGTTCTATCTTCACTTTCCTTTAAAGATGTTATGAATATACGGTAATACATAAACAGTCCCAAGAATTTTACTGCTTAAATGCATTGCAAATCATTGATGATTTCGATGCCCAAAGCATTGAACCTCTATTAACTGTCTTATTTCATCTTTGAGCTTCAAAAAGACAGCTCAGTGGCACGATGGCTTATCCATTGTGTACAAATCATCCACAATTAATAATAATGTTGAAATAATTCCACCTGATGTTATTTATGTTCACATCATGCTTCTTTCACAATCTTGATGATTCAAGGCATAATAGGGAACTTGGAGATGTATTTTAGTTATGAGAAAAAATCCAGGGTGTGTCACAAAATTTGACCATGAGACCCTGGGAAGCATCTATAACCACAAAGCTACATCTCCATTGCAGTACATTTATACCTATAGCAGGAGTTCGCATGTTGTTTTTATATTGACCAATGCGATAAAATAGTACTATAAAGGAACTGAATGATCATGTTTTTAGGACATATAGGGTGAATTAGATGTAGAACATTCAGTAGTAATGATGCTAATGTAGGTTTATTATAAGAATTAAAAACATAGTCCGGAAATTTCAAAGCACTTAAAACCAAGATTTGCAGCTCGGTGAATTGGATGTTGAACATTGAGTAATAATGACGATGCTACTATAGGTTAATGAAGATAAAATCATAAGTTCAAATTTCAAAATACCACTGGAAAAGTATCCAAAGTATACATACAGATCTGTAAAATACAGTAGGTTTAAAATTGTAACATTAATCTTATTATTACTTTGATAAATAATCTTTGATTAAATGTGGAAATAAAGTTAAGGAGAAAAAATTTAAATCCTTAATTGCTGCGAAGCAGCCAATTCATATTCTTCACAGCAATTTGACCTCTGAAAGGTCATTGTTTGTCAAAAAATGAGTGCTTAAGACGACTGAAAAGCGGAGCTTCCTTCTTTCGTTCTGCCGGGTAAAATCAATTACTTTAGGCCACGTTTGTAGACCAACCAACACGTATCAACGTCCGCATGTCGCGCTAGCCTTATCCTACTCTTTTACTGCCCTCCCATGGCAAAAGGGCATAACTAACAATTTTTCGGAAATAAATACCATTTTATACACATGCGCAGATCGGTTTGCCAGCAGCGAGTCATCGGCCAGCAGCAGGGAGTCGCCAGCAGCGAGATGTCACTGCAGCAAAACACTATTGTACACGGTATCAACGCTGTTCTAATATAGACAATGGGTCGTGTCTCATATTATTTGTTATATTTTTATTATTCATTATTTTCACTTGACTCGCATAAATAATTTTGTTTAGAACATTTTATGCAGTTTTACTTCGCAGCACTTCACTTGCAATTTGCAATTTCTAGTTCTTAGAACTTATTTAATTCTTGGAACTTGGTCATCAGATTAATTATTAATTAGTCATGACAACATATTTTCTTTCGTGTATCAAAAATAATTTCTTTCGTCTTATTGACAAGTAATTCAGAGAACACACAGTGAACTGTACAACTTCTTGGAAGATATTCAGAGCTATCTGTGTGTTACGATGGTGCCGTTGGTTGTTGAAAATTTTAAAATATCACTGAACCAATTATATAGTTACCCATGCTTATTAATAGTCTTTGTCCCATGTGTTTTGGGATATTCATTTCATGTATTTATTGAGTTATAATAAAATGCGTAGGCCGACAATAACCAAGTGGCTGTCTTTATAGCTTTGTATATTATTTTCCAAAGTTATTTTGTAATCCTGTTATTGGCATTGCTTTTGAATGCATTTTAATAGAAATACAAAACCTTGTTTTCTACAGTCTGTTATTTCAAGTATCGCTGTTTTGACACCTGATGATCCATATGAGTTCATAATATGCAAATTAAAAGAACTGATGGTGATGAAAACGGAGACAGTTCACGGATTGGAGGCTTTGAAATGGTAAGAATCACCAGGGTTTTTTTTTTTCTTGCAAGCTCTTCATATCCTTACAATTTTCTTTAACTTTATCAGCAACATTATCATCATTGTTGTCATCAGCATCGTCTTCATCATCATCAGTTTCATCATTAGATGTACATTGTTGTTATCAATGTCATCAGCAGCGTCATCATCATCTTCGTACCATCATCGTCTTCTTTATCACCAGCAGCATGATTATCCTATCAGTCACTCATCATGAGTCACTCATCACGAGTCACTCATCACGAGTCACTCATCACTCATTTGCGAGTTGATTGGCCTAGCGGTTAAGTCAGGGGCACCGAAACCTTCAGCTCTAATATCGGCGCAGGTTCGAATGGTTCACTCGCCGATGGTTCCAGTGGTGGAACAAGTCTTCTCGGATAAGGACTTTAAACCGTCGGCCCAGTGTACGCATTTGGCTCGTGTGCACTTTAAAGAACCCAGTACATCCTTCGAGAAGAGTAGGGGGTTACCCTGGTGTACTGGTCCATTAAGTCCCGTGTTGTTTAATGGATATGCCACGTAAGATAGTGATTAAGTTCACTTACTGTATTGGCATATCCTTGGTGCTTGTGCCTAAAGAAATGAAATGAAATCGCCATCAATTATTATTTATTTTATAAGATTTATATTGTGCGCATATTTGATTATGGATGCAGAATCAATCATACATATGCAACCTCCCCCGCTCCCTGGGGATTTGGCAGTGTTTCTAGTTGCATGTAGTTCAGCGTTACTAATTTCATCCTGATTCATTCACCTCCTTAGTACCGAACTCCTGGATGAAGAGAGGCAAATGCAGAAAGTGTCTTGCCAAGGACACAAGCAGTGTGACGAGAATCAGTTTCGAACTCTGTTTTATCAGCCACTTTATTTTTCAAAGTATATTTTGCACGTTGCTTTCCATACTGTTCGTTACATCTACTGTATGTCTACATTACTATTTCCAAGTCAACTAAATTTCAGTTGAACCATCTACTGTAAATACAGTAGATCTGAAAATAAATGATCCCATAAAACACATCAATAGATAAAGAACACATTAGTAATGATTTATATGCATGGTTATTTTTGCTTTAAATAAAAATAGACTATAGAACTATAACAAAATAAAAACCAAAAATAGTTTTTATTTTTCCTACATCTAATACATCAAAATTGAATTCCATTGAATCTATGAGTTCATATGAAATCTCTGACAATTCTGCAAAGTGAGTTACAGCAAACATAATTTTTTACATTCTATAAATTTACAGCATCTGTTTTAATTTCATTAAATGTACTTAAACTCTAAAACAAATCAACCCTCTTTCAATATTGACAGTAAAGGTGATAAATTGGTTACTGATATTTCATGTGTTATGTATGATCATCACACACTTAGCTTTGCAAATATTAACTCTGCATTTTGAATTGATGTGCAATTCTGTATCGTTCCACTAGCTTTAGATTTTAGATTCATGTTCTGACAAATAGAGCACACATTTACAACAAGAAATAAGAGTTGCATACACATATTTTATTGATCAGTGCTGACCCATGGACTTGGGTTTTAACAGTAAAGTGCCGTTTTGTAGAAGATTAGGAGGATTTTGTTTGGTAAAGTGGAGTTTTTTTGGTAGTGGGGAATAGTTTTTTTTTTTTTAGATGTGTTTAAAGGGGTTGATTAGGTTTTTCATAAACAGGTATGTGGTGATTTTCATCTTAAAAGTATTTAAAGTTAAATTAACAATATTGACACTTCTAGCATTCCTAAGTTAAAGAAAACCCATTCCGGGAGAGCTGATTAAATGAGCTTTTCTTGCATCTAACTTTATTTTGCTATACATGGTCGTAACCATCACCAGCTGACTTCCTCCCAAAGACAATTGATAATACAGTAGTATATTATACATGTAAATATAAGGAATTTGTGGAGATTGGTTGGTTTCCATGAGATTTTTGCTCTCTAGCATGCATGAGGCCATCTCGATTTCCAAGACACTCCCTCATAACTTGAGAGAGACTTTGAACCCCTGTGTTTTAAAAAATTGGTGTGCGAAAAATATGTTCATGTGCTACTTTAAGATCTGCCAAAGTTTTTAAGAGAAGGAGTTTAGGTTTTACGGTAAGTATGTTTGGTTTCTGCTGCAATCGTAATAAACTACTCCGCAAATAGCTGATGAATTATTGCCTGGAAAGCTATTATGCCTTCCAAGTTACAGAGCCCAAATTAAAAGTTCTAAAAGTGTGCTGCAGGGCTGCTGCAATGTACAGCCATAATATCGGCGTTGATCGAATGGCACTGCATGCTCCCACCTTTGGTTCTGCTGGCAGAACAAGTGTTCTCAGATAAGGACAATAAATGTTCATTTTAAAGAACCAAGTACATCTTTTGAAACAAGTAGCGGATTACCCCGACATACAGTACAGCCCTTGTGGACAGACGAGATTAGTTGGTACCAGTTTACCGGGTGCTCAGTCAGGAAGAGACCCTAATAGTGGAGAAACAAGTTACTATACAAGCTAGTCCACAACTCAAGGGCTTTGAGACTTCCGCTGTATATAATTCTAACTATATTACATCACCTTACACTGTGTAATGATGATGGTTTTATTTAATTAGTAGAAAAAAGACAATTCTCATAAAATAGCTATGGCAACAACATATCTTTTTGACTGTTTCTGCCTTTTTGCCAGTTGTGTTTGGCAATTCTACGCAGTCTTATTGGTTAATTGGTATGTTTTGCTTTAAGCTAATAGCTAAAGTCCATACTGCACATGGTTAGGGTTTGACTTTTTGAGGTAACAATCAAACAATACAAATATTTTTTCCATGGTTTGCAAGCTCAAAACATATTTTACGGTACACAAGAGTATTAGCTTCACAAATAGTTATTCTTAATTTGTTATTTGCAAAGATGTGTACATGTTTTGTCATATTGTGCAGCAGGCTTTAGAATGTAAATGGAGGAAGATTGCTGTTTTGTGTGAGTAATTTTAAGGTAGCATTTTGGATGTGAGGTGTTTTAGAGGTAGAGTACTTTTGTGGAGGTGAAGTTACAGATAAAGATTTGAAATTGTTATGGAAAATTAGTAAGGATAAAGGTAATACCGTATGTACTGGCATATATGCTAAAATTACGATCAAAAAACAGGCAGTCGTCTTTACCTATGACATACAAATTTTAGATTTATTGAATTATGCGAATTTACTACTGCAATGAAGATAGTATGAATGAACACAATTTTAAATATGGGGAAATAAGATTTGATTAACATTTAACAACCCATAAAACGGTATTATTTTGGAAGATCAGCCATTTATTTAGCTCTGTTCAGCTAGGTGCTGTATCAAAACCGAAAAAAGAAGAAAAAAGTAGGAATTCCGACAATGAAATGTCTTAATATACACATGACATACAAAAATCATCCAAAAATCTTCTCAAACGGGGGGACGTCTTATACGTAGGTCACCTTATACGCGCGTATATAAAGTAGTTGTAGAGTACATTGCTGATGGATGTGATGCCATTTGTGGAGTTAGTTATATTTGGAGGTGAAGCTAGTGATTTGGAGTTGAAGTTGGTAATTTGAAGGTAAGTGTTGTGATTTTGGAGGTAAGTTAGTCATTTTAAGGTGTAGTTGGACATTTGAAGATTAACTTGGTATATTTGAAGTTGAAGTTTTGTAGGTACAGTAGATGGGCGATTCCATATGTGGCGTACGGGACATTCAGAAACTTTTTTGCAGCCTGATTAATAATTAATAGTCAAAAGAAAAATATTTTATCACAATATGTATGTTGTACAATAGGTAACAACACATGATTGCCATATTAGCTGAAATCAAGTTTTTGGAGGAAAAATATAAAAAAAAGCCTGCGTGTTGACGGGACGCAGAGAAATTTCAGTTTTTTTTTTTTATTTGGCGTTGAGAGGTACTGTAGATTTAGTGTTTGAGCGGTAGTGTTACTGTACTACTGTATATTTTGTTTATGCAAGAGATTTTAGAGGTAGCAATTAGTGTTTGTGGTTTAAAGATTTGTGCATTAAGGTGAGTGTTTTGAATGTTGAATACCTTTAAGAGGAGGTGTAAGTGTTTGGAAGTTTTATTTGGACATATAAAAAATTGGTAACTAATGTCTTTAATTGGCAACAGTTTCTGAAAATTCATAAAAATGTCTGCTCTCATGTTTGGGTATTGGAGGTGGAGATAAATGGTTTTCTGCACATAAATATTTCCCTTGTTTTTTACGTTGATGAGACTTGCGGTGGGAGATTTTTGAACATGCATAAATATACTGTGGACAACAGAATTTATTATTACACATTTGCATTTTTTCTCATTATTTCGTTTCAATTTTAATGTTCAGTTCAGGGACCATCTCTTATGTCTTTTAATTTGCACATTTATTCTCCTTGTAGGGATCATCTAATTCCAGATTCTCACAAGCCTAATAAGCAGTTAATCTCCGGAATTTTTATCGATTCTATTCTAGTAATCGATGATGAACATTTACAGGTATGTAGTCAGCACTCATTTTTATTTTATATTTTAATTTAAAAATCATCTCATTTTCAAACCTGGTGGAATTAGAAACAGCTAAAATTAATTTTCTGTGCACTTTTGTTGTAAAATAATCTAGTAATAGTTTAAAAGCTTGCATAGTATTTTATTACTTTCTCCAATTTACTAGCCTATTTATTTCAGGAAAGACTGTCTGAATTGAGTGTTTTGTAAAGCATTTTTTTTCAAAACTGGTGGAATTAGAAAGCTAAAATTAATTATCTGTGCAGATTTGTTGTAAAATAATCTAGTATTATTTTAAAAGCTTGCATAGTATTTGTGGCAAAGACAAGCCAAACCAGTCACTCGTCGCAAAAATCGATTTTGAGTTATTAATACAGTATTAGAGAGTAAGATAATAGCTATAAAATAGTAAAAATATCATTCAAATCGGACATTTCCTTATGAAGTTACAAGCGTTTAAACATAGAGATGTTTAAAAAACAATATATGAGAAATCAGCCTTCAAAGTTTATGATTTCAGGCATTTCTCATGCAGAAACGATCATTAAATCCTTAAAAAGTGTTGTTTTAACATTAAAAATGGGGAAATTAAGAGCATAGAATGATGTATAGATATGTAAAGGTTAGTTTAGTGTAATAAAATAGATTTTTAAAAATTTGACATTCCAGCATATTTTAGCCATTTTCTCTGAAACACGATTTGCGACGAGTGACTGGTTTGGCTTGTCTTTGCCACATTTTATTACTTTCTCCAATTTACTTATCTATTATATTTCAGGAAAGACTGTCTGAATTTGATGTTTTGTATATAATATAAAAAAAAAAAAAACATTCATTGTTTTTGATCTGTTTATCAATGGAAGTTGCTGATTTGATTTTTTTTAATGACATGTTCAGTGTACAATCTGTAACACCTAGAATTTAAAATTTTGAGTTCAACCATTTTTTTCTCGCTTAAGGATAAGGAATTGACGGACTTTGACAAACTTATAATTGATGTCATGAACGTAAGCTGTCGATTTGCTGCATTACAGCAGCATATCATTTCATCAAGTCATGCATAACATTTTTAGAATTAGGAAGAAATAGATTTAGTACTTATCTTTTAGATTCGCTTTATCAGAACCATTTTCCAATTTTATTAGATTACTTACAAACAGTAGCTTCACTTTATTTATATTCCAGTGTAGTAGTAGTACAGTATATCACTTTTTAGATTTGGTTTTATACAACTGTATTATTATCATGAGTATTATTATCATGAGTATAACAATCATTAATGTTGTATTAAGAGTCATTAATATCATTTGTAGTCATCATTTAAAGTATATTTTACATTGTAGTCATCATCATCATCATCATCATTATTATTATTATCATTGATTTCATCATTGCCATTGAAGTAGGCCATCATAACTTTCGGAAATCATCATCCCCTCATTTATATACAATGACAATATGCTGAAAATGTAGTGAGAGATTGTTGCAGTGCTGCGGTTTTGGCTGTGGATTTTCATCCTTGAGTTTGGGGTTCAAATCACTAGCTGTAGATTTTGTTTAAGTGTCCTTGGTCAAGGAACTTCATCTAGTAATATACAGTAAATGGGTATCGGCAGACAAAGTTATTATGAGGAAATAGTGTTGAGCCCTCCACAGCATTGAAGTCTTCCCCAAACACCAAGGAACTAGAAAAGAATCACTCAGCCTGTCAGCTCGGAGCTCTGGTTTGGAGTTCATTTACTTTTATGCTAGAAAATTACTTAAAGGTTATACTAGGTTTTAATATTGCTATTTTCATACTTAATTATTATGAGGTTTATTTATGTACTGTAGTCATTGGAAAACACTTTGATTTTACTATAGAAGTGCTAAAACCATGTTAATTCAGTCATTCTTTAATTTGTTCTATAATCATCTTACTCAATCTTGCATTACAATTAGATAATAATTAATAATAACAATCATCATTATCATTTATGAAATATAAACATTTTTTACATTGACTTTCTTTTAGAATTTTTGTATTTTATGTTGTTTTATCCTTTCTGCAGTACTTTAGTGGGGTTTTGTTTGGTAACAGCACCATTTTGAAAATAGTACATGAACAGAGTGCCTACAGTATAAAGAATAATAAGATCAAAATGATCATCAAACAATCATTATCATCATCATTGTCATCGTAATCATCATTATCATCATCATAATAACATCATCAGCATCATTATCATCCTTATTATCATCATCATCATCATCATCATCTCAGCTTAATCATCATTATCATCACAAGCATTATCATTATTATAATCATCATCATCTCAGCGTAATCATCATCATCATAATATAATAATATCATCATCGTCATTATCATCATCATATGATGATTATTATTATAGACAATTATTTTTAAGTCATATAATTGCTTAGAACCTACATATGGGCCAACGTATACAAATCGGCTTTCCACAGAAGCACAAGATTAAAGTGATTTAGGGTATTAAAGTGCTTTATTATGTTATAATGCACAACATACATAGAGTTGCAATCCATCATGTTCGTAGGATGGTGTATGTGTCTGCATGATTAATGTGCAAAAAAACTTTTTTTCAAACATTAGCTACAGTATGTCAAATTTAAGCATATAATGTGTTCACAACAGCATAAAATATAAGGTTTTTTTTAGAATTTCCTATATGAGTGCTAATCCTAATGTCTTACACTAGTTCATTGGAAAAATTGTTGTGTTTCCTATAATCATTACTTGTTGTTTTACACTTTCAAAGGTACAGCCAAATTTAGTTTGATAAAAGCATGCTGCAACACTATACAAAACAATACATTTTGTAATCTTCACTATCTTTAAGATATCTCTATCACCAACTATGGCCTGGAAAATATGAAAGAAGTGCTAGTGTGGAAATTGTAATGTCTCAAACTGTTATAGCCTACTCAGGCAGCGTCATAAGGCGCAGCCAAGCGCGATTAGTAGTTGAGGATAGTCTTAAGGTCGTTGTGAGAATATTTTATAATGTAATATTCTACGACAAAACTGTCCTTGACGTAGGCCTATTGTGTTTACTGTTTAACTCACACGTCGTACAATGCTGCTAAGTTGGCCTCTAGTCTCATGGTTGTACAAGTCACCGGTTCAATTCCCATCGCTGCCTCTCCCTGTGTTTCATCTGGAGGGCTGAAATACAAGTTACAATAGCACACCGTCTTTCGGATGAGATGTTTGCATTTATGGCCTGTGTGCATTTATGGCCCATGTGTACGTTAAAGAACACAGTACACTCTTCGGAAAAGAGTAGGGGATTGTCTCCCGGTGTACTGCCCAATCACCACCAGAAGGACCCCACTGGAAATAAGTCTTCTTCTAAACGTCCGTGGATTATCCTTGGTGTTTACACCAAATAAATTCAATCCAATCCAATTGACCGTTTTCATGAAGAAACAACGTTTTAAGAAAAACACGTTTGAAAGTGGACTACTTCACAAATCCATAAATTTTGTTTTTAAGATATCAAAATTTTGAATATTTTTTTAATTTTTTACATATTTTTAAAGATAAACCATTAAACAATTCAAATGTTCAAGTTTTCTTTTTAATTAACCTGTTAATTAGCATGAAAAGTGTGTGTCTTTCGTGAAAATGATAAGAATTTACCCAGCATAGGTTATTTTACATATACAGTGCTGGCAAAGTTTGTGTCTCTTCATGAAAACGAAAACCTTATTTTATGCACTCCGTTGTTCGACACAAACTTTGTTTTCGCCTATGTTTTACTATTGTAGTCAAGGGTGATTACAGACCTAAGAAGTAGGTTTATCCTGCTAAAACAATTATGTTTTTACTAATAATTGTATAGGCCTATTCCAAGTTATACTGCAAGTAAGGTACCGCTATGCCTAGGAAAGTTTAGGAATTTAATCTTTTTCTCCAGCCAAGTCTTGTCTATACCTGATCACAACGATAGCAACGCCGCATGTGCGTCTTCTAATAACCCACTGAAAGTTTGTGTCTGTTCATGAAAATTTTTCTCGGTTTGTGTGCAATGCCTAATTAGTAGTGTAGTTGCACTCTTAACAATTACGTGAAAAGGTAAAGTTTGATGTACATAATCAAAATGTCAAAGAAAAAAAAATAGAAAAAATACTTGATTTTCGAAATGTCTCTTCATTGTGTCGGTGACAATATTGTACATAAATATATGATAAGGTGGGATAGGATATATTGCAAATGGTTTAATTTTTTTAATTTGTTAGCTGTGCAAAATATAAAAAGTCTTTACATGCTGTAAAAACAAGTGTAGTGAGGTATGGAAATGTGAGACAAAAAGAAATAAAATAATAAAGATGAAAGTCTTCCAAGCCAGCACCCAAGAAAAAGTATGGGGTTTGATCTAGGTGAACCCTGGTCAGCACCTGTTAAGTCTCGGCCATCTTGGACTTGGACGCCTCCTGATTAAAAGCAAATAGAACTTGTTGGCATTGAAATTAAAAACAGAGATGTAGAATACAATTAAAATGAAAGAAACCGGTGAGTCTTCAATCAAGCTTTAAAACTGGTGACAGAATGCTTTTCACAAATGAGCAAAGGCAGCGAGTTCCACAACCTAGGAAAGATTGATTGTTTCATTCAACTCAAACGAAACTCATTAACACATTCCATCTTTCACCTTATGAATGTATTCTATTCCATCACACTTAAACATTCTTTTTTTCGGATGGTACTACAATTGGCTGCTAATAAGGGCTCTAAATATATCCTTTGTGAACATATGACGAAAGCAGTTTTTTTTTTTTCCTTCAAGGATAACACTAGAAAGCCCTGAGATTTATTTCCAGCGTGGTCCTTCTGGTGGTGAATTGGGCATTACAGCAGGAGGCGATCCCTTATTCTTTTCTAAAGAGTGTAATGCGTTCTTGAACATGGGCCATTTTGCATGCAGGACCAATGGCTTTAACGTCTCATCCGAAAGATTGCGCTTTTG